CAGCCCTAACCATTCTATGATTCTATGTCGTAGCTCCTGGGGCAAAGCTAACGCACGTTCTTTTCAGTCCCTTTTTGGGAAGCGAGGGCTCACGCAGAAGAAGCTGCACCACTAACTTATACGGTCTTTTTCTCTCCTCAGTGGCTTGTACTTTCAGTTGCACAATGAAGTTCACTGTCCGAGACTGTGACCCAAACACAGGTGTGCCAGAAGAAGATGGCTATGACGATGAGTATGTGGTAAGTTCAGGACTGTTGTGATTTTTGGTTTGTTTTTTTTTTTCCTTGTCATTAATTCTGAATACACGTGGCCATCGGGTTGATGGTTGCCTTTCTGTTCTGAAAAGCCAGTAGCAGAGAATGGCAGGCCTCCCTGAAACACCATTTCCAAACTATGGCAGCTTGTAACCTTAGATGTTTCCCCAAAACGTTGCTTCTGCCAGTAGTTTAGCCTTAGTGCCCTGTGGAGATGGGATTTGTGAGGACAGGTAGGAAGAAAGGAATAGCTTCCATTGTCTTTTTTCAGAACTGTGACTCAGTCTTTCTCTCCACCCCTTGTACTTCTGTTTATTGCATTGGTGTTATAAATCGCTGAATACAAGTCAGATCTCAGGAAAGTGCTTGTCTTTTGGGCTTGGAGGAAGTAAAAGCTCCTTCTGTAGTGACAGGGCAAGGGGCAACAGCTTTAAACTGAAAGAGGGGAGATTTTTACTAGATGTAAGGAAGAAACTCTTCCCTCTGACGGTGGTGAGGCACTGGCACAGGTTGCCCAGAGAAGCTGTGGCTGCCCCATCCCTGGAAGTGTCCAAGGCCAGGTTGGATGGGGCTTTGGGCAACCTGGTGTAGTGGAGGGTGTCCCTGCCCATGGCAGGGGGGTTGGAACTGGATGATCTTTGAGGTCCTTTCCAACCCAAACCATTCTGTGATTCTGCATTCTGAGAAAGTCAGTTTCCTCAGATGCCCAGTAAGGGCCAGAATGGGCTTTGACTAACAAAGCCCCATTTTCTGCTCCCCTTTAGTCTCACTGATGTTTTTGAGTAAATATTTTTAAGCTTTACAGGTGACCACCATAAGTTATGACTGAAGTTATGTTCAGTTATGACTGAAAGGAAAGCCAGGCATGCCAGAGTTGTCTTGGCAAAATGCTGCTCTCTTTGTCTTTCTTTCCCTTTCTAAGATTAGGATCATTTCTGTAACTGGCCACTGAAAATCTCCCTTGCTTTTCTGTCAGTTGGAAGATTTGGAGGTGACCGTGTCTGATCATATTCAGAAGGTTTTAAAGCCGAACTTCGCAGCTGCATGGGAAGAAGTGGGCGATGACTTTGAGAAAGAAGAAACCTTTGCACTTAGTTCCATTAAAACCCTTGACGGTGAGATGATCTCTCCTTATTTATTGGTGACCCACATAGTAATCCTGGTAAATCTGCCATGGTGGGGTATATTTATTGTAGTAGGAGGAGAATTTATTGGCTTCCAGCGTGACATTTTTGTCCCAGAACCAAGGCTTTGTGTTGCAATGTTGGGATTATAGTGAGTGGAAGTTTGGCAGTGCTTTCTTTGAAGGCAGGGACACGTTCCTAGGCTGTTAAGACAGCAGAAGGGACACCACAAGGTAGGTGTTTTGGTGGGGCTGCAACCAAGGGAATGACTGGAAATGGTTAAGCCCACATGGGTGTGTAGAGAATGTTCTTTAATTGCAAACTAGTTCTCACAGAAAGCTTGGTACCAACCTGGAGGTAATTTTCTTCTTCAATCTCTGAATGCAGAAGCTGTCAATAACATCATCAAGTTCTTGGGCATGCAGCCCTGTGAGAGATCAGATAAAGTGCCAGAGAACAAAAATTCTCATACACTCTACTTAGCTGGTAAGTATTCATGCTGTTGAACTCAATGTTTCCATGTGCCCACACAGATTTTCTTGTTTTTTTTTTTTTTAAAAAAAAAACAAACTAAATGAAGGGAAATGGGTTAGGACATTCTGCTCTTGTTTTGAGGGTTTTTCTCTGTAAAAAAGCTGAAGCAAACCAGTGAGTTGAACAGTGCTGGTACCAATTTGGAGCCTGCTGCTGCGGGTGTACTTAGGGTAGGCTCTGTGTCTCTCAGAATATAGGTGTTCTACTTGTAGGAACAGTAGTGAATCCTTTGGATGAAGAACTTCCAGAGCAGACACCTAACTAAATTCCTTCCCTGAGGTTGTCTCAGTAGGGGATTCCTAGGACCATCTTGTTTTCAAGTTCCTGTCATTAAATATACATCCTGAATTGGCCTGCAGTACCCACAATTTCTTGTTCAGTGACTATGACCCAGGCTTACAGTTTTGGGCAATCCCTAGAAGTGGAAGTGCTCTACAAAACTTTCAGTGATTAGAACAAAACTGTAATGAACATGACAGATGGGGCGGATCTCAATTTATTTCAGAGGCAGAATTGGTAACTCCAGGTCCGTCTGCGCAGTGATGTTGAAGTGGGACTGGAGATGGCTCATTCTGCAGTCTGGATTGCCTCCAGGAGCACCACTTCCAAGCCCTCTAGTAGGAGGAATATTCCTCCCTTAACAGAAGGGCACTGAGCCAATGGACTGTGCCTTCACAGAAGAATTACAACATGTGTTGCCTTCTCCAAACTGGAAGTGAGCTTCAGCTACCTGCTTTCTGGTTTCTACCTGTTTAAATCAGCCTAGCCCTGCAGCAGCACTCACTGACTCTAGTGAATCAGGACAGTATCTGTTATCTTCAGTCTTGGCCTCAAGAGCTTAGGGGATTTGGGGGTTTGGCTTTTTGGGTTTTTTTCCTCATTTTTCCCCCTCTCTGCAACTGGCCATGGACTGAATGTCTTGCACTCCCCAAGTTGTCTCCTGGGTTAGGACTAGATGACCGAGCGTCTCTCAGTCTCTCAAATGTTCCTTTGTCCCTAGGTGTGTACAGAGGTGGCTGCGACGTGCTGGTGAGGTCCAGGCTTGCCCTAGGAGATGGTGTGACCATGCAGGTGACGGTGAGGAGCGAAGAAGAAACGCCCGTAGACGTCATCCTGGCCTCTGTAGGCTGAGCATCACAGCGCATCGACCGCGGTGGAAACCTCCTTGGCAAGCACTGGTTGGGTATTTACTGGGTATCAAACAGCCTGTCTGTCCTTCTGCATGTAGTTTTTATTCTTCAATTTGGTAAACATTTTGTATGATGTTACAGTAGTGGCAATAGTGCCTGGCTGGTACTGAGCCTTTCCTGTGTCCCTTCCCTTGTTGTCACTTACACATTCCCGTCTAACTTATTGCATCTCTGGCCACTTGCAGGAGAGCAGGGAAGAGAAAAGATGCAGGTGGTAAGAAAACGGAATCAGACTTTTGTCAAAACTGATTTTTATTAACAGAAAATAAACACTGGTTCAAGTGGTGGAATTCGTATGAATTACTGTTAATAAAATAGAAGTTTCTTGTTCTAATTCTGTTTGCTTCAGTACAGAAAAAGTAGCCCATAATGGCTGTTTACTCAGCAGAAGCCCCTTATTCCTAAAGGGATGCTATTAAATTTCAAACATGAGCAGTTAAAAACCACACAAAACCTGCAGAGTCTGTCAACCTGCAAATTTACAACTTCTTGATGATAGTCTCCTCTGTTCCACACAGAAAAAAAATCAATGTACAGAGAGAGAGATTAAACTTCACCTATCAAGGCATATTCAGTTCTCTGAGCCTTATCTTGTATAAAACCAAACAACAGCACAGCCTTTTCCCGGGCTCAAAAACGTGAAACATCCTGTATCAAAAGGTGGGTAGAGAGGGGGAAGGGGGGACCTTGTGGTGACTTCCTGGTGAGGGAAGTTCTGCACCTCTCTGCTGATAAACTGGTGTTTCTTTAGTTATCAAGTCCAGGGTGAGGAAGGAAGAAATACTATTTTAATACTAATTTAAACATCTGTCCCAGATCCCCAGGGTTGGAATAGCTATTGCTCAGGAGAACACCTTGGCTTTTGGTAGTGCCAGTATTGCATATTCAGCTTGCTCTAGTGAAACAGGCACGAGCCTGCCCTGGTAGAACTGTGTGCTACAGCTGAGCCTTGGGGAAGCACCTGAGAGTCCCAAGGGTGTAGAGTCATAGAATCACAGAATGGTTTGGGATGGAAGGGACGTCAAAGATCATCCAGTTCCAACCCCCCTGCCATGGGCAGGGACACCCTCCACTACACCAGGTTGCCCAAAGCCCCATCCACCCTGGCCTTGAACACTTCCAGGGATGGGGCAGCCACAACTTCTCTGGGCAACCTGTGCCAGTGCCTCACCACCCTCAGAATGAAGAATTTTTTCCTATCTCTCATGTAAATCACCCCTCTTTCAGTTTAAATCCATTGCCCCGTGTCCTATCACTCCATGCCCTTGTCAAAAGCCCCTTTCCAGCTTTCCTGTAGCCCCTTTTAAGTACTGGAAAGCTGCTAGAAGGTCTCCCCGGAGCCTTCTCCAGGCTGAACAGTCTGTCAATGAGTGTCTCTGTTTTTTTGAACTGAAAATCAGAGAAACAAGGTTTGTAGTGAAAGCTTGAGGTTTAGAGTTTGCCTTTGGGTAACTGGCTATTAAAGAGAGATTACTGAAGATACAATTACAGTGCTTACATGCCCCTTTCTGAGCGCAGAGCATCATTGCCTATACTTGGGGGGATTACAAATCCAGCTCTCTTGCTCTATGTAGTGTAGGCCAACTCAGTTTCTTCAGTCCTGACACGCTGGCCAAGTATTAGAACACTTAGCAGTGGGATGTAATTTAAACCACCTGCACAGCAACTCAAAAAACAGACCAACATCCATCTTGGGAATACGTGCATCAACTCTTGGCTGCTAGTGGTCCTGTCTACCTGTGGCCTGCAGCACAGCCTAGCAGTGAAGGCAACTAAGGACTCTTGGGCTGACACAGGTGCTCTGCCTCCCCTCAGGTGCCCCTGTTGTCCCTTGGGCCCTCCTGGCTCTAAATACAGACATAGGCTGGTCAAGGAGCAAGGTGAGTGCAGGGCTGGAAGAGCTGTCAGCATCCTGTAACTCTACTTTGGTTGATGGTTTTGTCCCTGCCTCCCTGCAGGTTAATCTTTTTCTGGTGCTCAAAGGATTTAACTGCATAAATGCAGCATTTTGGCAGCCAAAGATGAGGGTGTTAGGGCAAAGTGTTAGATGTGGAGAGAAGAATCAAGGTTTCTTCCTGCCCTCAAAGCCTGACTTATAAACAGAGAGTGAGAACTGAGCTGCAGCAGCTCAGAAGGAGTTGATGAAGTTCAGATAGGCGTTCAGGAAGCCTGTTGGATCCTCCAGCTGTGGATAGTGGCTAATGTGGTCGTCCAGCACAGACACCGTGGACATGGGAAGCACCTTCCTGTTGGAAGAATGCAGTAAGGCTTAAGCACAGGAACTGCAGCTCGGCCTGCAAGCAGCCAGATGCTACTGGTGAGGAGGACACTACCCTCTTGCACAGTTGGGATTCTGCCCATGACACAGTTTTGGCACAAAAAAAACCCCTGTAGCAGCTACAGCTGACCACTCTTCCAAGTGCAGGACTTCTTTCAGGTTAGTTTGGAGAAGACGACGACCTTAGTCAATAAATCTTCCCTCTGCTGTGCTTTTAAAATGCATGATTGATTTGACTGAGAATTGTGACTTTAATGCCTAAAACGAGGAGTTTCCAAACTGCAGAAGGCTCCTACTGAACGGGAATTAAAAACAGCCTCCATGACAAGGGAGTGGAAGGCAAAGTTGGAGACAAAATCTGTCTCAAAATGAAACCCCAGTTGCGTATTCCCACTTTGTGGTGGTATTGTCTTACTTGTAAAGCTGAAGAAACTCTGGGTGTGGATTCACAGGGTCCAGGGGCCCGTAGATCAGGTGCACTGCAAGAGAGAAGCACAGGCAGAGCTTTTATACCCAAGGATGTCCATAACTAAGCCAAGGAGACCTGTAGCAGACGCGTTCTCCTCCCTCGCACGGAGCTTGGGAAGCTTTCAGCAGAGCACTGGGCAAACCAGCTGCCGAAAGGGCTCTTGCTTCTCTGCCCTGGGGTCAAGTTCAGCCTCCAACCCTCCTCCTGCAAACACCAAACCTTTCCTTGAGTGGTTGCAACTTCTCTTGAGCTTGAAAAGCACCTCGGCTTCCCTGGGGCAGCAGCTGGAGAAACTGGAGGCTGTGAACCAGCCTCTACAGGAGTTATTTCTGCTCAGTGGAACAAACTTTTTTCCTGTTCCTTTAACAAGCTCACAGCTCTGCAGTCACCGAGCCTTAAACTGGAGAAAGAACGTTTGCTACCACCTGCACAAACCAGATTTGAGCTACGTCATCCTCAGTCATCCTCACTGGAATAACAAGAGGCTCCAGCAAGTAGCGGAAGGAGCCAGCACCGTGCCCCAGTGCCTGCAGGCAAGGGGATGCCATTCCCAACATCCCAACCGGTAAATCAAAGAAAACTGATTCCTACTCACATGGGACAGAGGTAGTCATCAAAGCCCCAACCCAGCGGTCTCTGTGCTTCTTTCTCTGGTTTATGTACTGCAAAATGCTGAAGAGAAACCTGTTGTTACGCAGCGGACGGTGCCTCGGGGTGCTGCACAGCCTCCAAATTGCTCTTGGGGTGATGCACGCCTGTGCAATGAGATGGGATCTGCATCTCCCTGGGGCAGCAGCAAGACACAAATGGGTCTGCTGACCGTCCCCAAGCTCAGCGAACTGCACAAATTTGGTTTTTTTTTATTTAGGTAGTGAGCAAATAAAAGTGCAAATGAGCTTAGGACCTTGACTCCAGATCTTGCCCATCAGCTCTGTGCCCAAAGTGCAGAGTCCAGAGTCCTGCTGGATGACAACTCAAGTTCATTTCTGAAGGGAGAAACAGCCTGCAGTCTGGGGAGATGGGAGGATGGGGTTTGAATCCTTCCCAGCTGAGACTGAAAGGAAATTTGGGTCCTCTGCTCCCAGTCAAATGCCACTGGGTTGTAAAAGGGGGTGAACCATTGTACTCCTTGTGCCAGGCAGTGCAGTGAGTCACAGCGGGCTGCAGGCCACTGGTAAACGAGCACTGAAAGGCCTGTTACCTCCAAGCCCCCTTAATAAACTCCATGCTGCTTCGCTTGGGCAGCAGGGCAAAAAGGTTTGCAATCGGATCCTAACAAAACGTCGGGGCAGAAATTGGTCCGCTGAAAGCCAATGCGGAGTCAGCGCAGCCTGAGCACTCCCATAGAATCATGGAATGGTTTGGGTTGGAAGGGACCTCAAAGATCATCCAGTTCCAACCCCCCTGCCATGGGCAGGGACACCCTCCACTACACCAGGTTGCCCAAAGCCCCATCCAGCCTGGCCTTGAACACTTCCAGGGATGGGGCAGCCACAGCTTCTCTGGGCAACCTGTGCCAGTGCCTCACCACCCTCAGAGGGAAAATTTTTTCCTGAGGCTTGCGGGCACTGCAGCAGCTCTGAAACCATTTCAGTGCCCTGCAGAAGAGGGGTCAGTGCTGAACCACTGCACGTGGCCGAATGCAGGAGATAAATTGCCCTGGTCAGCTCTTACAGTGAAAATCTGAGCTGCTCAAGGCTCCTCAGCCTGTCTTCGTCCCCCCAGCTGGCAACTCGGGGTGACTCCTCGCTTCAGCACGGCTCTTGGGGGTTGAGGCTCACGATTTAAACATCAGGTTTGAGTCAGTTGGGTTATAAAAAGTTTTCCAAGGATGGGAAGCTACGCTAAATACACATACCAATGCTCTGGCACGCAACATTTAAGGGGCCGGAGATATTTCGGCACTGAGCATCGCGGCTGCGCTGCCGGCAAAGGTGACGTTACAAAAATTTGCTGCAACCCGACTTGCCAAGTGGGCAGTGTGCCAGCTGCCGTATCCATTGCTGGGCTTGGGTGAGTATCCCTCGTTATAAGAGGCAATTAGCGAGTGCCCTTTGGAGAGGCCAAGCTATTTGGTCCTTACTGTGATTTGTCTGGAGATTGTCCCCACCGAGAGGAGTTTGCACGCCAGGGGGGAAGGGTGAGCATACGCCCCGCTGAACGGGGATACTGACCCGCAACCACCAGCTCGAGGTCCTTCCAAAAGTCCTAGAGCCTGATCTAGCTCCAGCTGTTAACAAAACGCCACAAATTCAAGCCCCTGATTTCCAAAGAAGAAAAAAGCCCTACGTTGTACACCTCCAGCTTGTCCTGTCACTGTGTGCAAGCTCGGATCCTCCTGACTCCAGACTTCGTTCACCTGCCTTGCATCATCCCAGCAAGAACCCAAGCTCCTACATCACACCCCAGCTTGTTTTTTGGGAGCAACGATGATCCCAGACCCCAGCAGAAGCAGCTGGAGGCTCCGTGG